AGCTCATCCGCATCAGGAACCCCTGGGGTCAGGTGGAGTGGACTGGAGCCTGGAGCGATGGGTGAGCAGCAGGGACTTCAGTCCAGCTGCTGGCAGACCAGCAGGCACTGCACACACAGCAGTCAAGTGCACAGCGCTGTGAGGGGAGGCTCAATGTGCAGTGCCCTTCACATCAGAGAGGGGGGCGGTTGAGGGCCAGCTCTGAAGTGCTCTCAGTTCACCTTGAGTAGTCCTCATCTAATTGTCTCTCTCCTGCTATTCCAGCTCCTCTGAGTGGGACAACATTGACCCTGGAGACAGGGAAGAGCTGCAACTGAAGATGGAGGATGGAGAGTTCTGGTGAGTGTCAAAGTGCTGCTCTTTTTCAACAGCCAGCCTGGGAAGGAGCAGAGGAGCTGGGGAGAGATCCTGAAACACATGACCTACTTTTATGAGCTGGCTTTCCAGCAGTGGAGAGCCTCCTAGCATTTTCTCATCTCATCTAGTTAATAATTTTCTTCTGTTCAAAGAAATTCAGCCCAACAAAATGCAAAGCATCTGGGAAGCTAGATTTAAACCCCAAACACAGCAGTGGGCTTTAAATGAGCTATAACTGCTCAGGGTAAAAAAAGATCTTGCTGTCACTTAATTCTGCTAAAATCTTGGCTGGGCCTGGAGCTGCCTGCGCTCCCCTTCCTAACCCAAGGAGTGCACTGGCCTCAGCCCTGCCTGCTCTCGCAGGATGTCTTTCCGGGACTTCATGAGGGAGTTCTCCAGGCTGGAGATCTGCAACCTGACCCCTGATGCCCTCACCAAGGACGAGCTCAGCAGATGGCACACACAAGTGTTCGAGGGCACGTGGCGCCGGGGAAGCACTGCAGGGGGCTGCAGGAATCACCCAGGTACCTCTGTCCTCCACACCTCCACTCTAAGCAGCGCGATGGAGCCGGGTGTTTCATCCACACATCCTCTTCCTTCCAGCCACATTCTGGATCAACCCCCAGTTTAAGATCAAGCTGCTGGAAGAGGATGATGACCCTGGGGATGATGAGGTGGCCTGCAGCTTCCTGGTGGCTCTGATGCAGAAGCATCGCCGACGGGAGCGGCGGGTTGGGGGTGACATGCACACCATTGGCTTCGCTGTCTATGAGGTAACCCCTGCCCACCCCAGTGCCGGTTCCCTGGGACCGGCTCATCCCTGCCAGTCCTGCCTTGACATGGCACCCCAGTCCTCAAGGAAACCTTTCCACTTGCTTTGCCAGCCTGTGGGTTCATGTGCCCCATCCTGTGCTCCCTGTAGCTGTAAGGGATGGGGGCAGGCACTGGGATTCTGATTGGCTTTTTCCCTCTTCTCTCCTCCCTGCAGGTTCCTGAGGAGGTACGTCCTGAGCTGCCAGAGCCTCTTGGATAGGCGTTCAGGAGTGGGCAGGAATGGGTTAATGCATGTGCATGCACGCTTTTGCACCCAGTGGAGTGGGAGCTCCCACCATCCTCTGTTAATGGGTGCTGGGATGGCTCCTGCTGGGATGGGCAGGGCAGGGATATCCTGCCTGATCAGGCTGGCTTTGGTCCCCCCTACTGCGGGGCTGCAGTCCCCAAGCACATTCATTCTGCAGGCCCGGGGCAGCCAGAACGTGCATTTGAGGAAGGACTTCTTCCTGCGAAACCAGTCACGGGCACGGTCCGAGACCTTCATCAACCTGCGGGAGGTGAGCAACCAGATCCGGCTGCCCCCCGGCGAGTACATCGTGGTGCCCTCCACCTTCGAGCCACACAAGGAGGCCGACTTTGTCCTGCGGGTCTTCACCGAGAAGCAGTCAGACACGGAGTGAGTCTCTGCCTGGCCAGGGGACACCCTGTGTCTGTGGGTGATAGGACAGTTCCCCACCACAGGCAGGCTGCTGGCCGGGGACCCTGCTCATCACTCTGGTTTTCCTCCTTTCTGCCAACAGGGAGCTGGACGAGGAGATCTCAGCAGATCTGGCAGATGAGGTAGGAGCCACCACTTTGGTTTTGTTTGGTGCTGATGCTCTGGGGCTTGGGAGCAGGAGCTGAAGGCCAGAAGTGGCTGCCTGGGTTTGGGATGTCACTGTGGCTGGAGAGAGGCTGGCAGGGTCGAGGTGATGGGGATACAGGAAGTAACAAGGATGAGAAGAACTTCCCTTCCAGTTCAGGTTCACTGAGCCTGGGAGGAAGGGCAGAACCCAGGTTTGACCACTAACCAATTCTTTCTGTCCTTCATCGCCCCAGGAGGAAATAACGGAGGATGACATAGAGGATGGCTTCAAGAACATGTTCCAGCAGCTGGCAGGGGAGGTGGGTACAGCTGTGCTGAGCTCTGGGAGACCCTGGAATGGGGAGGGGACAGGATGGGACCCCTGGCTGAGAGCCCCAGCCCACCCCATGCTTGCTCAGTCCCATCCTGCAGACAAATCCATCTCTGCTGCTGCTCAGCCCAGCTGCCCTGGGGGGGTGAAGGAGCATCCAGCTGTGGTCTAAATTCTTCTGGGCATGCAGGAAATATAATGGCACCCTAATGTTTTGTGGTTAAGGCAGAGATGTTTACGCAGGAGAGGGAGGAATGACCACAAGTGGGGTGGAGAGCAGGGAAGGGGTGCTCTAACTCTGCTCCTGCTGCAGGACATGGAAATCAGTGTCTTTGAGCTCCGCACTATTCTGAACAGAGTCCTGGCTAGACGTAAGCACTGCCCTTCCTGCCCCTTGCTCCCTGCAGCCTGCTCAGCAGGTTGGGTTTTGATGCCTGTGCTCAACCTCCTCCTTCCTCCTCAGACAAAGATCTGAAGACAGATGGGTTCAGCCTGGACTCCTGCCGCAACATGGTCAACCTGATGGATGTATCCTCTTGATGCTGTGCGCAGAGACCAGCTTCCCTGGTGCTCAGCCTGCTGTTAGCAAGACTTCCCAGGAGCTGAGGCTTGGCTCTCTGGCTGTGTCGAGGATGTTCATCAGGGGAAGGAGGAATCCTTGTGGTTTCAGGGCCACCTGCGTTACACCCCTGGGCTTAAGCAGCCCTTTGGGAAAGAGCCATCAGTTCCCCTGCTTACTTTGGGCTCTGGCTTTGCCACCAGAAGCCCAGCCCAGCCCCACTCATGCATTCAACCTTGCCCTCCAGGAGGAAGCTCCCTGTCCTTCCCTTCCCCACAGGCTCCCCAGCCTGATGTGCTGTGATGCCACCCAGCCTTCAAGGCACTCCCAGAAGGGAATAAGGACTGTTGGGCTTCTTTCTCCCCAAGCCATCCTGCTCAGCAGGTGAGGATGAGAGGTATAAAGTGACAGGAGCCATGGCCTGTGTTTCTGCTTGCACAAGGACATGTAGCTGAGGGATCAGGTAGAGGAGCACCTCCAAGGTCTTCTCCAGCCTGGCCCTGCAGCATCCTGTTTTGCTGCAGGCCAGTTTTCTCCAAGGGCACCACAGCAATGTGCTTCCTACAGGAACACCACAGCTGCTCCCAGGGACTGGATAGCATTATAGTTCAAGCGTTGTACTTTCGCCACTGTGTTGCAGACTGATCTTGCTGATGTGGCAGGGTAGATAAGGGAACCTGGGCAGGCCAAGTGTAGGCAGCCTTTTCTTGCCTTGTCTGGTTGGGATCTCGTAGTTTTGCCTTTACACTACTGCCTTTGCTGGCTGCTTTCTCCTTGACCCGATGCTCCCCAGAAAGATGGCAGCGCCCGCCTTGGGCTAGTGGAGTTCCAGATCCTGTGGAACAAGATCCGGAGCTGGCTGGTGAGGAGGAGCAGTGGGCATGATGCACTGCACAGGGGTAGCAGGGTGAGGGAATAGCCAGGCTGCACAGTTCAGCCTGCCCTTCATGGCTCTGTGATGCTTTTGCAGACGATATTCCGGCAGCATGACCTGGATAAGTCTGGCACCATGAGCTCCTACGAGATGCGCATGGCTCTAGAGTCAGCTGGTAAGTCTGGAGAAGGATGGGGCTGGGGCTTCTGCTGTCAGCCCAGTCCCAAGTAGCTGGAGAAGAGTGTAACCAGCCTATATTGCATAGTTGGAGCCGACCTGTTGTGGTAGCGAGATGTGATCTTCCCCCCCCCATTCCTGCTGTGCCAAATACTGGAGCCTCAGAGTTAGGAACGCACACAAGGTGGTACCAACCTTTGTACTCCTCTGAGCTGCAGGGTCCCATCCTGGCAAAGCAGAGGCCTGCGGTGGATCAGTGATTTAACTAGTCAT